GCTTTCACCGAAAAGTCGTACTGGAAAATAACATTGGACGGTTTGTTCAGCTCGACTAACCCTATGATACCATCCTCGTATGTGCTGGTTCGCTAGATTCGAGGAATTTTAGACTGTTTTGAAGGCTGGATAACGGTTAAAATATATGGGGCGAGAGCCCCAAATTTCGCCCTCTTTTAAGTTGTTCAGGGTCTTGTTTGAAAATTTATTTACATTATATTCTGACAATTGTATAGTCACGTTGAAACCTTATTGTTTATTCTACCAGCTTATTAGAATGATATTTAACATAAGTTTACGCAATTGTCATCAGGCTGCGGTACTTAACACTATAAATATAGTGGGGGGACGGACTTAGGCATGGGGGCGAAATTCAGGTCTCTTATCCTACTGAAAAATACGAAAAATTTCGTATCGAATTCCAGAAACAGTGGCAATGTAAGACTCAAATATTGCGAGAATGATGGAAAGAGAAATGTTTCGAGTAAAGTGTTACTGCAGATAACGCTCGAGGTACGTGAGAAACGAGATCTAGGGGTGTCAGTCAGCCTCATTTTCCACACCAAGATGGCGGCTCAGATGTTCCACAGGAACACTCGACGCTCTACTACGGTTATTCTGTCCCCGTAATTCGATCCCACCGTAAAGAGTAGATGATGTCGAAGAAAGCCTTTTCATTTCCGCCAGCGCTGCTTCCAGCGTCGTTCCTTTCATCGGTACGGGAACTTTCCGAAACAAGAGGGACATTTGCACGGTGTATCGTTCGCTTTTCTACCAGAGCCGTTTTCTTCGTCCTCGGACAGACTTGCGTTTGTCCCCGCGAATTTCACCCCTTTCATTTCGGTTTCTCCGTGCGGGGTGTGAAGATTTTTCGCTTGTCAAGCACCGACCCTCATCCGAACACGAAAGTGGTTTTTCACGCTCGATTTTTGGAAAAATTCCTCCGTTCTTTTCTTCCTCGTAAAATTCTTGTGCTGTCGAGGTTGCATTATCATGAATATGACGTTACCAGAACAATGTCTTCGCTCCTTGCATCCATAAAATACCTTCAGACTTAATAGTGTCTACATGTTTCGTTTTCTATTCATTATTTCGCATATGGAATACTTGTAGATTTTGTATGCAATGTAAAGCAGTTATTCATGCTATTTCAATGCGTTTTTCGAGCGATCGTCGAACTATACTTCGAACATGAATATTAACCTCGCGATACGCTGGCTCCATGTCTACGAGCATTGCAACGAACTCTCGCCGGTTCATCCTTTGATATCGAACCCCATTCGGTCGATTCAGGGTCGTGACTTCGACGGACGATGCCCACCGATCCCGTTATCAAAACGTACTTCCGCTGCAGTCGAAGCGGCACCTAAAGTAAGCCGTTTTATCGGCGTTTTTTCAAATTTCGTTCCCCCTGGATCCACGGCTGCAGGCGCATCTTATTCGCGAATCTATTTCACTCGGCTGCGAGTATGCAAAAAAGTATTCAGGGTTGGAGAAATAGGTGGGAGAATGAGGGAAGCTTAGGGAACAAACACGAAAGCGTTGCCGACGGAATGGAATCAGGTGCCTGAGAAACGTCTGCTTCTACTTGTTATTTAATAACACGTAGCGTTCGATACAATATTTCGCAATGTTTACCGCGAGATAATGGTAATAGGGGATCCATTAATACGATGTTGATCATTCTAAAATAAATGTAATATCATCACGCCCGAGGTGGTAAGGGAGACCAGGGATAAACGTAACAATTTGTATATTTGAGTCTGTGACTTTTACATTTTGTAAAACTTTTGAAAAATTCGAGATGAAAGGAGACGATTGTTGGTCGATTGACGATGGATACATTCGTCCCGTGTTACGTTTGTCCCGAATTTCCCCTACTGTAAATTCAGCAGCAATCTCATCGATACACGCGACATTCTCTCGACGAAAGTCGATACAGCTGCAGGGAACGGTATCAGGCGAACTGCACTGGAAGGATATTAAATATCAAAAGATTGTTACGACGCGCTGTGAACGTTCATGGTCGATCGGCGGAACTCGGAAAATCGCGCCTTCTTAATTCGCGCGTCGAGCTTTAATTAAAACTGTTCCGTCGGAGAATTCTTATTCGGGTACATTTATTAAAAGCATGAAAACGCGCCGAGGATTTTTACCACTCCTCTCCCCACTCACCCCCGTTTCCACTTTGCGTTTCATTGTTTCCACGCTTCCCTGAACTTCGTTAGGATTCCGTTTGTCGCGGTGAATACTTTCCTCGAAACATTTCTGACTCCGCCGCGCCAAAGAGGGTATGGAATTCCACGTTGCATGGTTATTCATGGTAAATATACAATACCGTCGACGTATCGACGTTACGCTAATGTGTACGCAGCGGATTGAAAACGTACAGTGAAATCATGTTTTTACTGTATTCATAAATTCTCGGTTAGGTTCGGTGTTAACGAAATACACCACCAATGGCATCTAATCGATTATACTTCAAGGTATAATCGAAGCATAAGTACCACCTAAATTTTCCGTTTCTTTATCAAGCTGAGAGAACGGCCATTCGAAATTCACGGCGCAGGAGGTTGCGTTTCTCAGTTCCTCTAATATCCTACTCTCGAATCGACCGGTTAAATCCGTGTTCCACTCGGCGGGTATCGGCAGAAGGGTCGATAACCGGCCGCCGTTTATCCGGCACGTATGCATATAATCGTAAAAAGGCGCAGGGAAAAAAAGCCCTACCAGGGGCCAGATAACGCTTTATGTGAAACAAACGGTCCAGCCACAGGGTTCATCTCGGTCACGAGTGCGCACATTTGCATGCATACAGCCGGTTACACGTGGAACGCCACCGACAGCCTGGCCACGTTTCCCGCTTGTTACAACGGAACGTCGCGAGCGCGTTTCGTGAAACGGTTGTCCCGAGGCTTACAGCTTGGCGGCCAGCCTCTTCGAGGTTCGAGGGTCGTTTAGAACGCCTGGGGAAACGATGGAGTGTTGTAAACGTGGGAGACCCGGCTGAGCGAAAATTGACAATTGGGAAGAATCTCTGGACAATAATATCAAACCGCGGGAATTGCTTGGATTTTTCAGGAGGGTGCTGACCCTGGTATGAAGAGAACATTGTGGATGTATTGTGCTTTCTAAGAAGGCATATTTTTATGGAATCTCATTCAAGGACGTTATATTTGTTTTTGTTTTTTTTTAACACTATGGCGACAAGATAGATCCACGAGTAATTTTCGCCCATGGACTGCGTTTTTCAAGAAGTAAGGAAATGTATTGAATAACTTTGTAAACTTTGAATATTTGGAAAGGAACAGTCGACACTCATATGATGCCATTGTTGTGTCATTGACTACCAACTGATTGCCAACAAATTTCTCCAGAAATTCAATGGTAATAATTTCAAAAGGGAGACAGAATTTTTCACTATGAAAATCTGTTATATAAAGAAACGATAAATTTCTAAACGACGAGACAAAACAATGTTTCGCTGATGCAAATTCGCACTAGTGGGGTGTCAGAGGGTTAATATGGCTTGCTGTATCGAAAAAAAAAACGTAAATCACCGTTAGAGAAAACACAACGCGCCACTGCTGAAAAATAGAAACAAGACACGCGCTGCTAATCCGTAAGAGTCGTTTTATCTGTCCACTCGTTCGAAAAACCCAATCAAAGGATTTCGGAAAGCTCGACCGTTGAAACTGGGCTGGCGCGTACGAGTACCGCGTCGCGTCGATTCGAAACTCGATCCGGCCGGAGGAAAAAAGAGGAAATCCCGCTGATGTGATTTCCCACGGGGAACTGTAGAGATGCGTAAGTAACCCATATACGTGTCGCGCCATGAAATCAGCCCTGGTTTACGGATTACGTTCCGTGGACACCGAGTTTCCAGCGTGTAATCAATCGGGCCACGAAAAAAAAAAAACAGCGAAAACGAGGACTGCTCGCCGAACGAGAGATCGCCCGTGAGATATGAAATGATAAATGAAAATTTAAATCTCGGATTCTCGGCGTAGGGAACGTTTCCAGGTCGTTTGATATTTGCCACGAACAATGTTACATCTGCATAATTCATGCATGTAATTAGTTAAATTAATTCAATGTGACTAAATCCTGTACTAATGCGAAATTTTGACGGATGACTATAGTCGTATTCAGCAAACAACAAGCACTTGATGTTGGGTGACCACAGACACCCTTAAAAAGGAAAGGGTTAATATTCATGTCTGTGAACAATATCATTGGGGTATCAATCAGAATTCACAGTAACATCTCGAGCTTGACTCCCGTGAATTTCTCGCGAGTAGAAGGACGACTGTAGTATTTTCTCAGTTACGTTAGACAGTCCCATGGTGATACGGTGCTAACGACGCTGTAAACCAGCCACACTCGGCTAGGAGTATCCTGTCTGCCGTATAAATAAATGAAACCAAACAGACAGCAGTCGTAACATATTTTTTCATTTTCTCTGCTTGGTTCTTCCGTTTCGTTCGAGTCTGCTCGCCCGGAAATAGTTCGAAAGTTAAACCGGATATCAAGTTTGTCGCGTCTTGTCTATACTCGGTGTTAAATTAGCCGATGCTCGGGTTCTGGGGTTTGATGGTCGACCGAGGGAAGATAATAATGTGCACGCAACTTTAATAACGACGCCACGAATAACCCTGTTATCCATGCCCGGATTATACCAACGACGCCCACGATAAATTCTCTTTAAGGCAGCGTCTCATCCGATGCTACTAAACAATTTCGAAGTAGACTGTAATACCTTAGGTTGCGTGCTAACCCGATTTTCCGAATTTATTCTCGCTGCTAAATGGTGGTACATAAAAAAGAAAGTGCGGAGTATTCTATTGCCGGGCGCTGAAAGGTTTTAGAAATATTGGAATTCAGTAAACGAAGGATGTTAAGTTCCTTAACGGTACGAATCTTTACGCGAACCTAATGGAATTAGTATTAAATAGATGAATAGTTGCAGAGTAAAAATAGACAAGGAAATCTGTGCTCACCCTTTTTCGACGCGTGGAAAGAGTCATCTTTCGGCACGTACTGTATATCGTACTCGAGCGTCGTTTTCGGCAGGATGAGCCGCTCCTTGTTGATCTTGTACACGGCATACTTGAAGGCCAGCTCCGTACTGCTATCCTTTTGGTCATGAGTGAATATGGCACCTGAAAAACAATCAAGGTAGGCGCCAAATGAGAACAGCCTCGCGCCAAGCGGTTCGTTAAATATCGTTTTCGCGGCGATGGCGAATTTCCTGATCGAAACGCGCCTTTTCATGCCAATACACTTGGTAACATGCTGACCGTGCTATTCTTCTCGGACGAAGGACAAGTGTTCTTCGATGCATTCTATTAGCGGCCCAAAATAATCTCTCGCCTGTCTGATTAATCTTGCTTAAACCACTTAGCTACCCTAAACGAAAAACACTATTCCTTCACTTCCATAGAGTATTTATCGGAATGTACTGACTGCACTATTGTTGTCACTCATAAAATCGTATTAGTACCGACGAAACGTACCCCCAAAACAGATTTGCATATTGAGGGTCTATCGCAGGCTCGCTACCAGATTCTTCGAGTTCCCCAGGCGGCCCGAGAGGGGAAGCAAACTCGTTTACTAATTGCTGATCGATGCTCCCAAAGCTGGCGAGGCCGCAAGTACGACCATGTCAAGGACTCGATGCACGTATACAAATGAATATACATATCCCTTCGTCGCTGCAAAGCCTTGGTTCAACCGTCTAGAAGTCCGTAAACTCCACCAGACTCGTGAAACTGGAGAGACCCCACGAGTAGCTATCTCTGTCTCACTCGTTCGCATAATTAATTAAGAGGGACGCGAACATAAATCGGTGGCCGTGGTGGGGGAGTTGGGGGTTGGTGGCGCAGTGAAGAATCGTTCTTTTGTTGCTGAAAAATAGCCAGGCGTCCACCACAACGGCGGTGCGTTATCAATTTCCTGGCACGAGGCTCTTCCATGGACGCCTCTATCTAGAATCCGGTCGCCCGCGGCTGTGACAGTGACGGACGACGGACCAGTAATCGGAATGTCGTCGCTTTCATCGGGTTTCCCATCAACCGAGACCCCTTCACCCCTTCCACATTCATCCCAGCGGGTGCTAATTTGAACAGTCTCGAATGCAAACAGCCCGTGGCATTCGGTCAAAAACTGTTACTGGGATCCCTCTTTTTTTTTCTTCAGCAACACGTACTATCCTTTAGAAGCCACATCCACATCCCCCGAGGGTGGTTGCTTCGGACAAACGCAAATATCTGAACAGAGACCCTTCCCCACGCAGCGGGTATCCTTCAAAAGGAACGAGTCCAAGCAATTTCCCGCGGAAAAGATCCTATTTCTAGGGAGACCTTTATTCCAGGGCTGGTTCTGACACGGCCACGACTGACCCCTATCAAAATCGAGGCCATCATCGCGATTGAACGTGGGGATGCCTTTTCACGAAGCCTCTCTCTACACGTGACGACGACATTCCCCCTTATGTATGCTTCTTCTGCTCACGCGGTACCATTTATCTTTACTCGGGATTACCCCTTTCGGCTACGCTATCGGGGGGATTCTCGATGTCGCATGGGGTGACGAAAATAACAAGACCTTTTCGGACAGCTTGAACGAAAGTGCTGCTTAAATAATACCGCTTTGATCTAACTCTCCACCATTCATCGATGACCTCCATTCCCGTGGTGGTTATATATTCCATCCAAACCTCGAGATCGGACTCGGTGTTTTCTATCTTGAACGCTACTTTTACTTTGAAAAGACTCGAGGGGTTGGATACAGGACCAGGAACAGAGGATACCGCATCGGAAAAAGGAATACTTAAAAAAAGTTTAATGGCGGGTAATCCCGGTCATGGGGTGGATGGAGAGGGGGAGAGAAAACTGCGAAACAAGAATCCCACGAATCGACTACCCCGATGGAAAAAGCGAAGAAAAATCCTTGGTTCGCGTTCCAGCACCAAATCACCCTCGCCTCCTCGCGCGCCATTTCTTCCGTCGAACCCGCTTTAGCCACTCCCGCCATGGTCCGTTCTTCGCGCGGTTGTTTTATCCGTCGCCGGTGTATTCCAGCTAATCCATTTATCGGCGTATAACAAACACCGGGGCTCTCTCCTCCTACTGTTCTATTATTCCTCGGCCATCCGGTCCCGCAACTGTTTCTCGGTTCTCCTCGAGCGGCGATAAGTACCGAGGGACTTTCTCCGTTGAAATGCAGTCTTCGTTTCTTCTGTCGGTTTCTTTCGGAGGCGGGCTACGAACGAGCTTCCTTCTAACGGCCACGCTTTATCATTCGTTGCTTAAATGGACGGGAAAAGGGTTCGACTAAAACGCACCCGGTCGGCGTAATCTAATTTTTTTCTCGGTGGTTCGTCGGACATGAATTATTATGACCATGATACCGCTGAAATCATTCTACATTACTCTCGAGGGATGTTACGATTTGACTGTATAATTTTTGCATTATCAAAGAATAAGTACTGAAAAACCGAATACTACGAATCACTAACATTAATCATTTTTTTCACCCCTTCAATGGGGAAGGTTGTACACGATTATTATAAAGCAGCAGAGTTGGTTGAACTAAAAATGGTTACCAATTGAACTGCTACGTGTTCGGAATGGGGGCGATGGAACCTCGTAATGTAGAAATCAACGACATTACACCATACCCATTTTCGACGTAATCTTCACGAATCCTGTGGGCTTAGGATAAGGTGGCCGGGATTTCTGCAGGTTAATCTCCATTTCTGCGGGATTACGTCCGCGAACGAGACCTCCGGTACACGACCGTGAGAGCAACGCAAGATAAATCTGAAGTATCATAAGGAAGCTATAGGGTTTAATAACCGATCGTTTTCTCGGGCAGCGTTTAATCGAGCTGTGCTGTTTTCATCAGTTTCTGTCGACGACTAGCAAGTTCCATTTCTGGTTATATGTTTCGTATGGAAATTGAAAACTATTACGCCGGTTGATACATGTTAGAAGACGAAATTTGCAGAAGAGTTCATGCTTTCACGAATGTATTCCCGTTGCTCAAACAGTGTTAAAAGATACGGGCGATTGGTTATATACGAGACCCACTGTTAGCGACTAGCAAGTTCCATTTCTGGTTATTATATTATTCCCGTTGCTCAAACAGTGTTAAAAGATACGGGCGATTGGTTATATACGAGACCCACTGTTACCAAGGCCGAAAGGCGATCGATAATTCCGTTCAAAGGGGCTACATCTCAAGTAATCACTTAAACTGTGCAAGCTAGGTATAAAAATCTGAAGAATATATCAAATTAAAGAAAGCGTTACTGAGAAAGAATAAACATTCTTCTGTTGGTAGCCCAATTCTGTTCACCATCGACTATTTATCCCACTTCTTAAGAGCGTAACTTTGCAGCAACTAAACGATGATTTTGTAGGGGTCATAAAATGCTTAACAACCCCCCTTCATCCATTCGTGTACTCTTCGTCGTCTCTTCAGGTGGCCGGAGAGGTAATTGCATTCCTCGGTATTTCGCGGTATACAACGATATTTCGCGTCGAAACGCAATTCCGTCTTGGGAACCAACGAAGGAAAAAAAACATACCGAAGGAATGGTTCGAGTTCTCGCGGCGAAAGACGCCTCCTAATCGAATAAAAGGAGTTAATCGAAGGTACCGCAAAAGCGGCGGTCCAGGAACTCCAGAATTAGATTCGATCGCAGCTAGCACTCGGAATCCATGGAAATCCATGCGTTCTGGGCGCAATACGGGAAAGGAGGGCCAGAGTCCGCTAACTTCTCGCTCCCGGCGGGTGGTTAACGAGCGGCGGAAGTTAGCGCTATTTCAACGGAAGTGGAGGAAGGGTGGGTACCGTCGGGTTATCCGACAGGAGGAAAACCGCGGACGGGAACCGTCTCGTGTTTACACCGCTCGAACGGCCAACAAATCACCGGGGACGTCTCCGAGACAAAAGGAAAAGAGGAACAACTTTTTGAAATTCAAATACAGCCTCGCGCCCGCGCGAGTTTCCATCGGGAATAAAACGTAGCTATATCTTGCTGTTATCGAGGCGAGCACGGAAGATACGGGGACGACTGTCTCGAAAATCAGTGCCTCGGAACGGAACTTTAGACGGGGGAAGAACTCGACGCCGATAAAACTGCGTGTGGAAAGTCGATCGATGGAAACTTTGCGTTGGTGCTACGACCGGAAACCACGTGCCATCGCTGGCGCTGGATTCCCTTGCCTCTGCTCAGGTGTTCATTCGGGCAGTTAACCGCAGCTTCATGGTACTCAGCCGTCTCGATTACTTTTATCAGTTGGCCACGAGTGAAGTTTGTTATTTCCCGACGCGATAAATTCAATCTCCGTTCTTGGGACTGCTCAACCCTCCCTCCGTTGGTTGATCGAAGTTTGTGTCGCGGTATACTTCCTTCATTTTACGATAAAGAAGATTCTGAGGTACTACAGGAGCTTCTTATAATTTTTACAAAGTGCACTGGTGTTTAGCAAAATCTCTCGAGAGGTATGTAGGATGATATGTAAATTCTATGACGGAAACTACTGGAAATTCTTATTTTTACGGCACTAACCCTTTCGTTACCACACGGCTGCAGAGAAAGTGCAATTACTAGACTGAGGATGTTTATGTAATGTTATGTTTTTTTTATATCAAACAATCAATCGAACGAAAAACGTGTCGATAGAGGGGGGTGGGGGGAGGGTTTGACTGGGAAAAAAGTGCCCGAAACGCATTTCACGGGGATCTCTGCAGCCGTTTAGCGAGGCCACGGACAAAAAGTGGAAAAACCGTCGACGGTCTCGTGTGTGGATTACGTGACGCCACGCGTGATGGCTTTAACGTGCAATAATTCTCAGGATTACGACCGTTCTCGATCCGTGGCAAAGTGCCGTCGCCCCGAGGTCCAGACCCAGACAACCAGAGGCACAAAGCACGATGAATGGACCGGTTTTCCAACGGACCGTGAGACGCCGCGAACTTTACTACGTTTTGCCAGTCGGACGCCGTACAACGCTGACGACAGAGTTTGCTAGCCCACTGTTTCCGTAAACCGCGGGAACTCCGTCCGGCGACATTGCTTCAATGAATTATTACAGAGTTTGGCGGTCGCGTTTCGCGGCTGAACGCAACGGTTTCCCTGTTGGGGTGGTTT